GGGGGGGGGCCGACAAACGGCAGAAATGTGGCGTTGATGCCTTCAAATAGTACACGACGGGCGACGGGTTATTTTCCCGCCTCTGGAGGGTCGTACTTGGGCTTCCAAATCCTGCTCATGCGGTCAACACGTCTGCCACGCGCGAACCCCCTCCAAGGATCAAAATACGAGGCAGGGCACTCCGTAGACGAGAGGGGAACTCAGAAAGACGTACCAGGTATTTCCGAGGGTTGTGTTGCCCGCTTTCTCAGCTTGTCGATAGTACCGAGCGGCGGTGTACTGTTGACCAGAGTCCAGAATTAGCCTCGTGCTCACGGAGCAGCCGCGGGTGAAGGGGAGGAATGGCTCGCGACGGTGGCATATGGCGGGGAAGACGCCGATCTGCAATGACCAGCGACAGCTACGTCGACGTGGGACTATAATTCATCGGGCGCCCAGCGCGATGCTGGTCTTGCAAATAAGAGCCCCTTTTTTTTTTTGCCCAACAGCGGCCTTGTGTGACGTTGGGCAGCGATGGCGGGTCGTGGGGGAAAACGGGCGTTGAGACGTGCAGATGCATGCTTGGCTGGGTGTGACGCAAAAGCCACAAGCCTTTCTTCCTTTTTTTCTCTCTCTTTGCCCTTCTCAGAATGTGTAGGTTGAGGCTTGTGCATTCTTGTCTTTGGTACGGAGTATGTGCTGCCGTGTCGCAGTATGGGCGTGCAAGTCCGGCGTCATGGGTGCGTGGCTTACCTTGTCCTTCTTACCGCCAATCCCTTCGAGGTAGCACAAGGCAGCTTCGTTCATGGCGTCTGTCGAGATTGTGTTAGTGTGTATTGATACCTCCCCGGAGTGGCTGTTTCGGGCCAAGTTACCGCTGTCTCCAAGGTTTGCTGCCGTTTCGTAGTACTAGAGGGCTGTTAGACGTTGCTCTGTCGCGGCGTGGCTTGTTGAGCACTGCTACTAACCTGCCTCGCGGCAACGGGGTCCTTCTCGATGCCCCATCCGTAGCGGAAGCAGTTTCCGAGTTCGAATATGGCCAGGACCAACTCGCCCTTGTTCGCGCCGCCCTTCTTCATGCCCGCTTCAAGGGCGAGCTTCTCGACGTTGGCCGAGTTGGACGCCGCGGCGGTGAGATACTTGACGGCCGAGGCGGGATCAGCATCACAGCCCCATCCGTGGCTGCGCCAGGGGAAAACACCAACCGTCAGCAAATTTTGTCACCAGGTTGATACTCGCAACTACGAGAACAGGCATCTCACCGCAACGCAAGCCCATACAGAACCTGGCTCAGGGGGTTGTTCGCACCCTCCGGATCGGCCAGTCGCCTGAATATCTGGGTCGACTGTCCGTACTTGCCCTCCTCATGCAGCCGGATGGCGTCCTGGATGTCGTCGTCTATAGCCTTTGACGTGCTGGCGCTCCTCTTCCTCGCCATACCACCGGGCCCCAGGCTCATCTGAGACGTGCCTTCCGAAGGGGTGGGAGAGTCGGGCCTGGTGCGGGCGAGTTCGTTCTGTCCCGCCAGCATCGTCGCCCGCTGCTCCCACTGCGACTGATCGGCCGCGTCGGCCCCCGTGATGGCGGGCAAGTTGTCGGGGACATTCTCGGAGGACTCGGCCGTCTTGCCAAGGTGTAGTCGGTCCGCAAGACGCCTTCTAGACGAGTGACTGGCCTGCGAGGAGACGGACTCGCTGCGTGATCGGCTCGGTCGAAAGACGTCGAGGCTGCGGCGGGGCGACGACCGCACCGACGTCTTGGGCGAGAGCAAATGCCTCTGCTCCCGGCCGTCATTCGGGGGCTGAATGACCTCCTGGCCGGCGGTATCTGTGCGAATAAACAAGAAGTCGGCGACGTTTGATCCCCGTCCGCCATCCTTGCTTGCCGAGTCCGCATTGCCGTCGGGCTGATCCCTCTTCTTGAGCTTGTCGAGGAGCCGCATGCTGTGTGTTTTCGGCAACGGTCTGGAGGAAAGAAACAGCCAAAATAACAATAATGATAATAATAACAATGATGATGATGATGATGATGATGATATGATGATGAAAAGAAGAAGATGAGGAATAAATTCTGTTCTTTAAAAAACATGGATTTGCCTGTACTTTCTGACAAGAACTTGGCCGCGCATTCAGTCTTCCCCCTCCCCTCCCTCTCCTTCGTACCACCGTGTGGCCTTGTCTGGCTCGCGAATTGCAATTCGTAAGCTCTTCAGCCGTACCGGCACCAAAGAGCAAAGAGGCAGACGCACAGCTTTCACACCGAGGGGGGCTGAGCTGTGGCGGTAGTGTTTGTTGACTGTCCTTTGACGGTTGGAGCGGATGATGCAGAGGATACGAACTCCGTACAGATGTGACAAAGCAGCACAGCCACCCCAACCGGCCCTTGGGTCTTGTCTGCGACGGTTGTTAAACTCGCATTGTTTCCAGCCGCCTGATGCCGATATCGAGAGGGTCAGCTGGTTTGTGTGAGGACAAGGCACAAGACAAGCGACTGCGGTGGGCTGACAAAGGCCAGTCAGTCAACTCGGAACTGCTTCTCTTTGAGGCAATTGGTAATGGGTTCCACCGGCGGCGGGGTAATCAATTCCACGTAGTTACTCTGTATCCAGTCAAAGTAGGTACTGTACCGTGGGGGGGGGGGCGTGTTAGTACGATATTAACTATACATACAGCTAATTTAATTAGGCATTGTATTCTACAGCTACTAGGCCTACCCCTAAAGTTAGGATGCAGATATATTAGGCTTAACATAATATTAACGCATAGGTAGCATGTTAACACAGGAAGACTTATTCTATATATAAAATATATATTAAAAGTTATTATATCTATAAACTAGTATATATATATATTATAATATTAAATTAATAGTTAATAGTAATTTAAAATTAATTAATGTTAATAGCAAATATATCTTAGATAAGATATATAATTACTCTCTATAAATTAATGTTAAGTCTATAGTAAATTACTATAAGAGAGAGATATATAGAAAATAGTATAGACATTTAATAGTAGAATTTATAATATTAACTAAAGCAAGGTAAATTCTATGTCTTAATATAACTAGCAACTAGCAAATAATAAAGCTACTATAAAGTAATATAAATAGTTTATATTGCTAGTGTCTATCTGCCTAAACTTAATATATAAATATTATTAAACCTCTTAAGTTTCCTTATAGCGTAATAGCTTACTATATACTAACTAATTTATAACTCTCTATTATATTTCCTAGATTCTAGAATGCATAGAAGTAAAGAATCTATATAGAAGCAAGCAATTTTCTAATTTCTAATTCCTAATTTCTATAATAACCTTTAAAGTTGTATTACTATTTTAGTCTACCTATATATAAAACTACTAAAGTACTAGTCTATTCTAAGTGTATCTATAAAGTAACTAATACTAAATAATTACTAAAATATAAAAGTAAATTTCTATAAACTTCTAAAATAAGATCTACTAAACTTATAAAATTAAATATTATTTATACTTTCTTTTTGCTAGGGGAGCCTAGAGACGCTATCTAACTATAATTAGAAGATAGTATCTATATAATTAGTAAGTCTAGATTAATTAGAATGTTATTAAGAGCAGTAATATTGCTAGAATTCTATAGTAATAGCAATAAATTTATAAATATATTTAGAACTACTAGAGTTTATTGCTTTATGTCTAGACTCTGCTTAGGCTAGATAGCTTAACTATTATTACTTAACGCTCTATATTTTACAGATTAGTCTAGATTTTATTTAACTTCTTAATAGCTAAAGCTAGTACTACTATTATTCCTAGCTATATATATATATTAGCTAGAGCCTAAGGAAATATAAAAGATAAAGAAGTATTAAACATTAAAACTTACAAAAACTATTAAGTCCTAGCTACTATAAAAACTCTTATTTATAGATATTATTTAAAATAAATACTAAAGTTAAAGTTGTCTATCTCTTAAGCGTCTTTATTATAGTTTTATGCTTCTTAGCTAGCTTAGCTTTAATAGTTATAGATAACTATAAAGCTAACTGCCTCTTCTTGCTTATTAAACTTCTTAGCAATATAGATAGCATGCTATCTATATACTTATACTTAGTATTAATATTAAAGATCCTAAAGCTGTTTATACTCTTTATTAGTAGCAGGTTAACCTTAAATCTCTTATCTTTTAGCGTTTGTATTTTCTAAATAAAGTAGCAGAGTATAGTTATAATATCTAGATGTTTGTCTGTAAATTAATGCTAGTTATCTAGAAGAAGTATTTTATTTAAGTTTATTATTTCTAGTAAAGCGCCTGCAAATTAAACAGCTATAAGTCCCTTAGATAGCTTGTCTAGGCTAGCTTTATATACAGCAAGAAAAGATTAATAAAGTCTGTCTAACTTAGTAAAGTAAATAGGCTTGTCTAACTTAACTTGCGCTTTACTAGCGCTTAGTTTCTTAGGCATAAGCATAAGTATAGGCTTAGCAATCTTTTTCCCTTTAACTTTAGGTAGCTCTAGTGTTTTATTATGCTCTAATTCTATGTTTATATCTTCCTAGTTAAGGTTGTGCTCTTAAATAGCAAAATCTATTTACTTTATTCTTACTATTTAATATCTTATAGTTAACAAATTATAAAAGAGCAGAATTATAAGCAAACTTATATTATTGCTACTATTGCTAAAGTAATACAATAATAGTAGGCATTAAGCTAGTCTCTTACTAATTACTAGAGGCGCTAGAAATACTCCCTTAGAGAATAGAAATATACGCAGAAAACTAGCTAGAAAAAAAGTAAATAAGTATTTAGCACTCTATAATTATATTTAAAAACAATAAGATGTTTTATTATTATATTTCTATAGCTATATATAGTTATAAACTTTTTAGCGTAAGTTGTAATAGTATAAAAAGTAAAGTTTGTTAAACTATAGATAAATATATTTATTCTATTATTATTTCTATTGTTTGTTTCTATTACTTAAGGACAGACAAAAGAATACTTAATAGTTTTTATATATTATAAAGTAAGGTATTAATATTTTAGAAAATAATTTCTAGTTGTAAATATATTAAACTTTTATTATGTCTATAGCTATTATTTATAGCTATTATCTATAGCTATAGTCTGCAGCTATAGAGCAGAAGTAAGATAAGAGAATAACTTATATAAGTATAGTAGACTTAATTATTGTAAATATAAAATTTATATTATTTACTAAATTTCCTATTAAGAGTGTACTATAGTAAAAGTAAGCAACTATATTAAGCTCTCTTATACCTTTACAGCCTAGTTATTAAATATATAAAAAACTACTATATATAATATTAATACAGACGCCTAAGAATATTTAGAAGTTAGCAGATAGAGCAATAAGATAGCAATTTGTGAAATAATGCTAGTAACTTCTATACGCAGCTAGTAATTCCTACGCGCAGCTAGAACGACTAGTCTATTTGCTAGAAAGCTAGTATAAAGTTAAGGTAGACTAGTAGTAACACAGTAAATCTAGGAAATTATAACAGTAGTTTAGTTTAATGCTGCTGCTATATTATTATAGATCTTATTGCCTAGGACATTATAAGGACTATTATTATAGCACTTATCATCTCTACTAAGCTTATTATTATTGTTATTAAAACTCTCCTTTAGAATAGACTGCTATAAAACATTAGAATGCTAATACTCTAATTCTATAAGCTGTTTTTACTAATACTTAAAAGCCTTTCTAGGAATAAAGACGTTCCTTATGCTAAGACTCTAGATTTTCCTCTTATCTTAATCTAGCTTATAGATTCTAGGCGTAAAGAAAATATTACTTAAGTATAGAATAAACAGATAAATCTAATTCTCCTAGGAAAACATCTAAATTCTATGCTAAATTAAGCTAAGCCTATATATAAAATAAAGTTAAATATTAAGTGCCTTAGCGTCTACTAATAATTTAATTATAGTACTAATATTGCACTAAAAGACTAGGAGCAATTAGTATATATACCTTTTATAAATTAGTATATAGATATACTTAATATCTATAGTGCTATATTTAGAGAGCTCTTCTAAATATTAATATAACTTTTAATAAAGTTATAGTTAGCAATAAATAAATTAATATTAAATAGATGTTTAAGAATAAGCATAATCTTATTAATCTTAGTTGCTTCTTTTAGGTCTAGATGCACTTCTATAAGACTTATAATATGCTCCTAGAAACTATTAGCATTTAGAAGATAGATCTAGTTTTACTTAAAAGTATAACTTTACCTTAAAGTTTAAAAGTCTATAAGATCTCTAGTTATAAATATTATTAAAGCATTTAGTCTATGCATTCTTTGCAAGCATAATATAGTCTATATATTAAATATAGCTAAGATAAAATGCAATTAAGTAGGCTAATAAGTCTAGGTTCTAGGTATATAGAAATGCAGTATAATTACTAAGCTCTATATTCTAAAATAGAATATTAATATTGCTTATAAAGAGCTATCTGTTTGTACGCAATACTATGTTTATTATTTGCGTATTATAAAAGATCTACTATATATTTAAGCTACTTAATATAGCTACCTTCTGCTGTGAAAAATGCATTAGTTAGCGTCTTCTATAAAGGTTAAGCAAGCCTACCTAGATACATTTAAAGAACTAGAGCTTAGTTTCTCCTAGGCAAGAGATAGCAATAGGCAATGCCTCTAAATTAAATAGATTATTAGCTATATAGTATATTAGCAATAATTATTAAGAAGTAGTAGCTATATAGAGTTAAACTTATATAACTTTAGGCTATTATTAACTATATTAAATAAAGGCAAGTTCTAAGGAAATCTTAAGCTATTAAACTTATTGTTGCTATAGTCTAACTTAAATAGCTCTAATTCTTTATTGTCTAGAGATACTAGAATAAAATTTAGATTAACTAGAATATAATGCTGTTACTTAGAGAAGCAACTATTGCCTGTAATA